TAGATACATTTTGAAAATGCCATCTGGGTCTTATAGTGCTATGATATTATTTAATTAGAACCAGATAAAATTAGGTAAGAAATGAATGCCAGAAATTATATGGCTAGCTAATAAATATAATTTCACCATATTCTGTAGTTATCCCAAAGTGTTAATTATAACAGGAGCAGTTTAATTCTTTGGCTATGAAAGCATAGCAGTTTTTAATAGATGTATCACCTGGTAACCTTGGGCATTATTAAATATATGGGGACTGAAAAACATGGTAGAAGGAATGGAAAAGTCTGGCCAGACTGTGTAATTTGTTTTAGAACTACGGAGAAATCTATTAACCATTTCTTCGATAGACCAATTTGATTGAGAAGTAGGACAAGCTGTTCTTTCATTACTTACCAAAACCAAACTGCACTTTGTATCAATTATTTGGCTGTCTGCAGCACATAGATTAGAATAAAGGGCATTCTTGGTGTTTGTGAATATTGCAGATCCCTGATTACTAATTAAAGTCCTGAATGAAGGAAACTAGGCTAAAATTGAATGGGAATGAGTAAGTCTTAATTCTGTGATGCAGATGTTAGAAACAGATTGTCTTGAGCAGCCCAGTCAGTGCAGTGACATTGTACATGGCCAGGGAGTATTCACTTCCCAGGTAAAACTCAAGTCAAATGCCTCCGAGATGCTTTCCTTTTCCATGCCTTGTGATGTGGCTGTATGGGTATTAATTTAGTGAAATATCCTGTCTGCCAGGTGTGGGAACTAGCTGATTTTATTGTAATACCAGATCATTACTTAATTCATATGCAACAGAGAACAGCACATGGAAAGCATTATAAATCTATTTACAATGTGGCTGGTCTGATGATAACATTGTATTAAATTCCCAGGTGAGGCAATTTAAGCAATTGCTTTGCCATGTGCACGCCATGGAAATTAAATTCTCATATACGCTTTAGTAATAAACCAACTTCATTGTTATGTTTTTGCTTGTGGTGGGCTTTAGAATCCTCATTCTGGTTATATATACCCTGTTTCACATACAGAATCATACAAGAGACAGGACCACAGGTCACAAGTTTTAATTAATTTAAGCTAAGTTAATTCATTTTGTCTCTAATTTAGCAGTGACTGTCCATGAACACATTCAGCTCAATTGGGAAATGTTAAGGCTTGGGTCAAGTAGATAGATTATTTCAAGCCAAATTTCCAGTCAGACCTGAAAAGTGTATCTATTTGAACTTGACTTTAAGAAAATCAGCCAATCGGTATGCAAAAATCCTATTCATATATGAGGTGAAAAACTGACAATCTCTTTGAATCTGAAATTCTTGCTTTTATAACCACAGACTCGCTTTTGTCATGGGTTTAAAATAGTCATTGAAACTGTGCATCTAACTTCTTAGAGTTAGGTCACAATCAATGGTTAATTTTTCATAGTTTTGTCCAATATGATCTGTAGATTCTCTAACCAACTGTATCTAGTCCACCATGAAAGTCAGAAAGAATAAGCTTTACATAAGCATACAAGTAAAACCTAAATGTTCTAGTATTTAATACTCTGTGTGTGTGCACACCTGTGTGTGTGTGTGTGTGTGTGTATGTGTGTGTGTGTGTGAGAGAGAGAGAGAGAGAGAGAGAGAGAGAGAGAGAGAGAGAGATTTGGCAGTTGAAGCTTTTTCACCCTTATGGTATAGACCAGAAACTGAAGTAGATTACAAACTGCATAGAGCTTCTGTCTTTTCCAGAGCCACATATAAAGCACCAGTAGACAGTGGGAACTGACAACTAAGACTAAAAATGTTGACAATTTCTTGATTTGCCTGGTTAGCTTATGTATAGAAGTCATTAACTATTTATAAAATGCATTATGAATTGGGTTCCTTCAAACTGTAGCTGAATGTGTGACATTTCCAGCTCAAATTCTCATGCTTGCATTTGGCTAAAGTACAGATTTTATACTGTTGATAATGAAGTAAAAATATTTTAGTTAGGTTTATCAAGATACAACAGAGATTTCAGTTTCATTAACTTTGAATCCTCTAAATTAAAATATTATTTAGATACTCAGAAGTGTAGCATGAGGTTTTTTTTTTTAATTCCATAAAAGATAGCAGAACTTATTGATGTTTTGAAGGAAAATTATTCCTAAAATAAGCAGTCTGTCATTCAGAGGAATTTTGCCTTTTTTTTTTCAATTAGTTTAGTTATGGTCTTGCAGGCTAAATTATGTCTGATTACATACAATCAATCTGTTTACTGAAAATTTTAAACCATTAGAAAACATAAGAAAATAACCAATGTTGGGCATTAAAATATAATTATTAATAAAACAAAGTAATGATTTGTTTTATTTTTATAAGACAAAACTCAAGTGAAAAGAGTTCTATTTTAGCATTACTGTGCCATTTCCAAGGGGTAGAACTATTTTTGATATTTGAAATGAGTTGTCTTTTCTTTAAGAAAAGTCAATCCTGTCCGAGAATACTTTGTTAAACTCAGCATATCATTTGCTTAATTACATCTAGAAAAGCCATCCAAATGACCAGTTTTTACCATCCCAGTGGTAAAGAATGACATTGATAGGGACCACCCCTCAACTGCAGATAATCCTTAGGTCTCCTCTTGCTAAGCATGCATGCTCTTAATTGCTGGTTTTCAAAAGCAGTACATTCTGCAGTACAATCTAACCAAAACAAGATTAGATATTTAAGGGATACACACTTGTAATTTTCTTCCTCTTTTTTAGTATATTAAATCAAAATAAGATATAATGTAATTGAACAATCTATGCCAATTTGTTGGTATTTTGTTGAAAAAAGGAAAAAAACAAAAACAATCTCCATATGATATTCTTGCATACTGCGGAATGTTTTAGTCCCCCATAGTGATGAAATGAATAATTAAAAAGGCAGCTCTGATACCACAGCCTGTTTAAAGGTTCTGATTCCCTTTAATACCATAAAATACTTTCGCTTAGCTAGTTTGAAACTACTATACTGGAGATCTCCAAATGGGCAAAAGAAAGCTTTAGCTTGGTCTAAATGTTGTATTAAAGCCATGAAGTAGATTGTCCTTGTAACTTAGCATTTTAAAATGCAATTCTGCATAAAGTCAATAGAAATAACTAATTAATAGTAATTTCAGTAAATACAATAAGAGACACAACCTTAATATATGCTGCTTGTGGTGATAAAAATGTCAGGTTTGTTCATAGATGAATGAGTTGGGGCACTCCTAATTTTCAGGAGATCTGATATAGTTGTCTTTATTGATCTCAGGCTAATGGCAACTTCTCTAATTTGTCCTCCCCACAATATTGTGGTAGTTTTGTTTACCTCCTTACATATTTATTGTGAGTGCAAAGGTGTATGTTTGTGATAGTCTTGGAGCAGAGACTCAGGGCAGGAAGGGGATGCCACCATCTCCTTTATACTGAAACATTTTGCAATTCTTGTGCTGTTTTTTCCCCTGTGTCTTTCCATAGGGTAATAGAATAGGGAGCAATTTATTTTTTTTAAACAGGCCTCCTAAATTCTAGTCTCAGTTTGATCATGACCATACTATTAGAACTCCATGAAACTTTTTTTTTTCCCTAAAAAGGGGGGTTGTAGGTTTTTTTATTTTATTTATACTCCACTGAGCCTTTTTTAATTGTGCTCTGCTAGAACTGTAAGCCCCCAGTCTTAAATAGTATGTAATGAACTAAATTCTCTCTTATGTGCCATTCTTGGAAAAATTGAGAAAAAGTCCTTTGGTTGTTCTTGTCTAAGGTCCTTTTAAATTCCAGTATGATATGATTTCATGTCTATGGTGTTATGATCTCTATGTGGCCAAGCAGTGTTACTTATTCACTAGTCTAAAAATGTAATGGAAATCTTATTGTTGACTTCTGCTCATGGATTATGGATAGTCCTTTTCAACTACAATGCTTTTTCAGACCACAATTGAACAGGTAAGAAATTTATGTCTCAAAGTGTAGATTCAAGTGAGAAAGAGATGACTCTGTTTTCTAACTGATCATTTTTGTTTAGTTCAGAAGCAGAAAAGCTTACAAAGTAACTTGTAAATCTGAATTTGGGTCTGAAATAGTGAAGATGCTGTAGGAACTGAGGACCATATATAGTTTCACAACTAATTTTCAGAGTCATTTACCTTTTCCAAATTGTATATACGTTTAGATAATTAATGTGCTTGCAGACATGCCGCTCCAACTTTACAAGTGCAGGTAGATTTCTTGTAAAACAAAGTTTCAGTGCGTGAAACATTGACTCAGCCCACTTGTCTTTATTACTGGGATTGTGAAAGGTTGACTCATAGCTTACTAGCCTTTATTTACTGGGATTGAAAATTTTAATTTGCTTTACCAGACAGACACAGGCTGTGTACACACACACATACTCCTTTTCATTAGGCCATAATTTATAGAGAAGTTGGAGATATTTAAATTATTATTTGGATAGGGGATAAGTTTTAAAATCCTTCTCTTTCTGGTTAGTAGCATCACAATAAAGAAAGAAATATAGATGTGTGAGGCCAGGGATTCCAGAGTAAAATTTGAGATATAATTATTATCATAGAATTAGAATTTTAAAAGCTCTAAATTATACAGTCTATTTCCTGCTACAATATACAGTTTTTTAAAATTACAATCTAAGGTTTATAAATATTCAGCTATTTAGCTCCATTTCTTTCAGTTTAGTAGTCTTATTTGAATGTTGATGTACAGAATGATATACAAGTTCTAACCCATTTATGAATATTAATAGAATATGTGCACAATGCAGTTTTCTTTCATTATTGACATTTTTTAAAACTTCTTATTTACATTAAATTACTCAAGTTCAGGAACTTTAGGCAACTTTGGTTTGCAGATTTTCGCCAATAGATAGGTTTCCATTAGGGGGCTCTCGAGGTTTGAGATGATCAGCCTTGATACCATAACGCTTCGAAGCCTTTACTTTCTAACGTTCCTCTCCTCTTTCCCTTTTTGTTTTGTTTTATAGAAAAGGTCACGGATCGCCTACAGTGACGAAGTTCGGAATGAGCTCCTAGGGGATGATGGGAATTCCTCAGAGAACCAGGTAGAATGCTAATCAGGAAGGCCCGGTGGGTGGCTGGAGGGTGAAGGAGGTCACAGGCACACTGGGCTCTCAAGCTGCTCCTTAACAGTATTAGCAGCAACTCATGTGGAAGCGATACTGTTTAATGCAAAGCTGGAGTCTTAATCAACTTCAAAATGTTTCTTGGAGATCTTACATTTAACCCTTTACCTTGTGATCACTGTCTGCTATCTTTTAAAAAATCTTTTCTTCTCTTTTCTTTATTATTTAGTACTTAAGGAATAACTTGAAACACACTGTTTGCAGACAAAGCCAAGGTCTTCACCTCAAACACATGTAAAAGGAATAAAAAAGTACATAATACAGCTTTGATAATAATGCAGTATAATTAAATCAACACTTGCAGCAAAACAAATGAAAGTAAGCTTTCAAAATTCAACAGCGCAGCTCAGTCTCCTATTGTGTAGCTTCTTAAAAATACATTCACCAAAATGCAAATTTTAAGTACCAGTGCCAACTTGGATACCCAGATAATGGTAATATTATCTTGCTTCTGTCAAATAATAGTAATAATAATAATAATAGGATAAGTCTTTTTTTGCAGTTTAAGATCTGTGTAGACAAAAAGTAAGATAGTTTCTTCTTAAAAGAGCCTTACAACTTGGGCTGTCAGTTCTCATTGGATCACATTCTAGTGTCATTAGTCTAATTAATGTCCTACTTCTTTCTTTAAGTTAATACTACAGACTTCATAATTTTACATTGATAATATATGACTTTTTAAAAATGTTTCAAAACTTGAGTGTAGAGATGATTTAAAGAATGTAAAGATGATTTAGAGACGGAATGATGACAGGAAACTTCACAAGCAAGACTTGAATGTGTTTATTAATGTTATTTTGGAAAGTATGATAAAGATCTCTACTCTGCCTGAATAAAACTGAACATAAATCATTCACTGGAGAAACTGAAATTTTAATAAGATAGTTAAACAACATATCAATACACATTATAAAAAAGTGCATAACTGTATTTACCATTTCAAATAGATTATATTTGCTGATACAATATCACCATATATGCTGATACTATATTCCTAGCTACTGTAATGTTAATATTGTAAACAGGGATGTTGCTTTGTGAGGAAAACCCCACTCCCACCTCTGTGCACGCACGTGCACACACACACACACACACACAAAACCAGAAAAACAGGAGAGGAATCACTGAGCTGATGATGTTTGTTTTGGTGAATTTCTCAACTCCTCCACTATTTGGATGTATCAGCTTGAGTTCAGACATGTAAACACATTCAGATTTGACTTGGGATTTCAGCTTCCCTGATTGAAATGTGAGAATAGCTAAAGGAAAAAAAATAGCACATCAAACATAAAAGGGTGATGTGATGAAGGGGTTTTACTCATAATAGATTAAATAATGTGAGGATGAGAGAAAAATATTTTCTTCTTTTTTTAAAAGTGAGATTTAGATTGCTCATACCTCTTGAAATGAATGAGTAGTAACTTTCCTCCTACCTACTGCAAAAAAGCATTATCTTTTTTGCAAAAAAAAGTGAACGCATAGTTCCCATGTCAGTTCTTTAAAAAGCTATAGATCTTTCCCTCATTTGAAACTACTGCCTAAAGTAGAGGAAATAGAAAGGAAGGGGGTGTTCCTGTCTAGCTCAGACTCCTTCATTGTAATGAATGTTGTAGTTCTGTGACAGGAATCCCTTTTTTTAAAGCATGTTCACTTCTCCTAATGGACGTTTTATGTGCCTAAAATATTTGCCTTGCATACTTATAAGTATGATTTTTATGCCTAAAGAAAAATATTCCACAAAAATACATTTGAGTTAATGTTTTTCTGGATTTTGCAAATTAAATTTCTGTCACTTTAAAGTGATTATGCAGAGATTTCCCCTGGACTTGTGTAAGTCAAACTTACAAATTCTGAAAGTGCTTGGAGAACCTGGAGTTTAGTTGTAAGGAGCTGTCACTTTAATAAATAGAGTATGATAAGTTATAACCATGAGGATATATAACTGATAGATTATTATTTATGTGAACTTTCAAGTTTAAGATTTGAATGAGGCTTGAAAGTTCAAAGAGACCACGCTTTGGGGATATTTTGTGGCAACTGTAGGAAAATTTCCATATGATAAAGTCATTCAATTTTGTTTTGTGGCTCTTTGTTATAATATAGGAATTAAAATCTCTGAAAGTAAAGCGCATCATTTACTAGGTATGGTCACTTGAAAATAACTTTATTCTTTCCAAGGGCTTCGTCTTAAGCATTATCATTCTGTCTTTTTAAAATATCCTATTTGCCACTTTTTATTTAGGCTGAATAATCACAATAGAGGCTTTTTTTCTGAAGAAAAAATATTTTAAATTGGTATCTCAGAAACTACGAAGATAGCTTTTTTTCTAGGAGTGATTACCAATAATTTATGTAAGAAAATAGTTTCTGTTTAGAAATAAATTTACTTTTAATTGTTGACAAATTGATTTTCAGAACTTCTTGTTCATGTATTTATGATAAACTTTCAATATACAGTAAAATTTAGAGATAAACAAAATGGAACAAAAGTATCAAAAAAAGTATTTGTTTATTGAAATTAGGTTATATCTGTCATTTAAAAATATATACATCAGAAAATATAATAAGAAGCAATAGCAATGATTGCAAATAGGTGAAAGAAATACTGACTAGTTATTTTCAATGCATCATACACATACTGCCTACATAGTGAGTTCTTTGTAAAGATTTGGACAAACATGAATGCAGAAGCTATCATTTCTCATTCTGGCTATTTGTAATGCAGGGTTTTAGGCACCTAGACCCTGACTGTTTAAGCATATAATTATAACCTTCCAATTAACTATAAATTATGTTAATTTACTCTTAAGTATATAATAAACATTTCTGCCATTATTGGAAATGCCAACATTTCAGAAATTTTCAAATGTATCTTTAAAGTCCCTCATACAATGCACACTTTCACTTATTTACAGATTAATTGCTCATATCAGTTCATTTCTGATCTACACTTATTTCATTCAATCAAATATAGCTCTTTTGGTTTATAAGAAAGGAACAGAATTGAAGTGTTGTTGGGTTCTCAGCTTTCCAAGGGCTTCTGTCATAAGCATTATTATTGTGTCTTTTTAAAATATCCTATTTGCCATCTAATATAACAACAGTTGTTTTCCCTGAGAGTTGAGTTCTTGAATGTAGTGATGCTACATTTAGAGAGACACCTTAAATACTTCTTAACTTGATTTCCTTTCCTAAGAACCTGTCCCAAAAAAAGGACAAAAAACAATTTATAGAATGAAACCATAAAGCCTTTCATAGTGGAGTGTGATAATGGGGCAAATAAAACGTCTAAGTTCTAGTTTTGAACTTAGTAGTCTCACAGTTACCGTATGCAAAATTATATTGATTGTTAATTTTGAGTAAATCCGAAGCAGAAGATTCAAAAATATATGAAGAGTAGGACAGCTCTAAACATGAGGAAATTTTGTGGTAAAGCAATATTTAGCAGATAATGATTGCTTAATTTTTTAATACAAGGTTCTCTTAAGTTCCGATTTGGGCTTGCTGTGCATAAAGTGTGTCAAACTTCAGCTACATACCAGGGGGTGAAGTCGGTCAATTTAATTCCCAAGATCTAAAGAAGGTCGGTATCATTTCATATAGCCCTGGCAGAGCAGATCATTACCAGGCACAAATCTGTTCGTTACGTGCTGAGGGTTTATAGCAAAATAAATAGACTGTCATCATAAGTTCAGAAAATTGTGTGTTCGACCCACGATAATGTGTAAAGGGCGTTTAATAGAGTTCAGCATTTATTCGTTATCTGTATGCGGACAGAGACGGCAGTCGTGTTATCAGCTTTAAAAAAAAAATTCGGTAGTTCTGGAGGTCACGTGATGCACCTCACACACAGAGGCGCGCGCGCATGAACCCTCGCATGCTCTGCAGTGCAGGTTTGATTTTAGTCACAGCAGAAGGCTTAACCACAAGAGATTCCACTGGTTCAAACCAGCGTAAACCAGATTTTTTCAGCCCACAAAGGAACAGATTACCTCTTGTATCAAATTCTGCATTGGAGGGAAAAAAAAAATCTTTTGTTTCAAAAAAATGTTGATTATCATAACTCAACATTGCGGTATTACACACTTTCATGTCGCCTATGATGGAGCTAGTAGCTCGATAAAATACGAAATCAGTACTTACACTCTAGCCTGTGCGTTCGTTATTAATTTTCAAAAATAGACCATCTTTTGTTTACTTGAATGCATAACTCTCGGCCTAACTGAAAAAAAAAAGATTTAAAAAAAAAAAAAACTTCCCATTACCTAGCTTAGCTACAAATCCGGTGTGGAGCCTGAATGCAGCCATGCAGCACAAACAAGATAGAACGTTTTTTGTTTGGAACCTATTGAAAAAACAAATGGGTAGCATTTTTAAACACTCATTGATTATGGCAGGGTGGCATGCCCCAAATGGTCTCTATTGCTGAGGAGTAGTTTTAAACTTTGGCCCTTTAAGTATCATAGTCAACTGAAGAATGGTGCCCCCAGAAAGAAAAGAGGGCTGTGCGATCAATTCCCAGATCGCCCCTTTCTGAGAATTAATGTTTGCCTTTTTCTCCCATGATGTTCAAGGAGCAAAGAAAAAGATTCCAATATGTGATAGGCCAGGTGTCTTAGTTTAAAATTTCCCTTCTTCTGTGGAAGAATTTTAACTTTCCATGTGAGATGATGAGATGCTTTACTGGTACACAGTGGATAGCTGCTGAGAGAACGAGTGTATTTAAAAATAATGACAACTTCTTGTCTATTTTGAAAGTATGATAGTAAATTTTCATTTTTATTGAATACACAGTAAGATATTACATAATAAATCGTTTACCCTCTTTATAAAGTGTTTCAACAATTTTGAAATTTCATTCTTTAGTACTTGAAATACTTTTTCTATAACAAATAAAATAACAGAATAAGCTGGAATGTATGTTGCCTGCCTGGATTTCTAGACAAAAACAGCATTAAGCATTGAGAATTCCAGGCTATAGTAAACATGATACTTTTGGACTAAGAGACTTATAGTGAGCAATTCATAGCACGTTTCTCCCAAAGCAATAGTTTAATTTATTGGCCTGCATATGTCAAGTGTTATAACAGATGTTACAGATATTTAGATGTTTAAAAATTATCAGTTATAGACCTGAATTGCTGAGGATGCAAATTTCAGACCTAGAATGTGGTTTATAGTCTGTAACAACATAGGTATCAGTTTCTGTTCATTTCAGAAACTGAGGTTGTCATCTCAACTATACAGTGATATTGTGGTTTAGAGTAGCAACACACACACACACACACACACACACACAGAATGAGGCAGTCATGTAATTATATTTTTTTTCAAGCTTTTAAAAAGTTAAGTAAAATTTTATCTGTTATATTTAAAGTGATAGAAAAATGTTCTATATAGGAGAATTAAAATGTTGTCACAGGAGAATTTTCTAACAAGTGAAGGGTGGTTTTTTTTTATTATACTTTAGTGAAACAGAGTACATTACAAATGAAGCCACATTTACAAATGAAGTAAGAGAGTTCATTACTTTAAGAAAGCCCAGCTTACAAGATGAAAAGAATTGGAAAAAAAAGAAAGAAAGAATTAAAATGAAAACATGCCATTTGATTGCAGTAGTCTCTTAAGCAAAGTGAAATTCTAAAAATTGACTGATACATACAATAGTTCTAGGATAGTGGAATATTTTCTGATGTATGTCCTAAATAAGTATTATCTATACTGGCATACTTTATTCTGAATTAAAATAATTTTACCTCTAAATACAATCCTATTACTAGAGTGGGTTCACATATGATATTCACATCATAGTTTGTTGTTTTAGATCCTTACTAGAACCAAAGCATGAACTATTAATCATTTTCATTTGTTGGTAAATCTGAAATCAGTTGTCAAGTTTCCAAATAGAGAAACATCCTGAAAACTTGTATATACAAAACCTCTTCAGTGGTACATTCTTAGAAGAGAGGAACAGTAAACTTGTTTTCTTTCTTTATAATATAGACTTCTATGAAGTCGTTCCCCTTTATTTCATGATGGTGTCTTAGATGTGCTTTAAAAGAGAATTTCACACTATTCTCTTTGTTTAATGTGACAGTGTGAGAAAGTGATCTTTATTCGTTCAAAAAACTCTGCATGTAGTCTATGTTTAGGTTCTTTTAATGTGTTTGTCTGTGATTTTTAAATGCTAAACATGTAAACAGATAAATTGTCAATGTTAATTCTGTACCCTGTCACACAACTGATCTTTCTTTCCTGCCATTTCTTTCCTTTTTATCTTTTTTTTGTGCATTCATGTTGCAGTTGATAAAATTACGTGAAGAGGTAAGTACTTTCTAGCTTCCCTTTTTTTTCTTAAATTCTACTTTTCCTTATAAAATTGATTTTCTAAATCTGAAGTAGATCTTTGTATTCATTTTTCTTGGGCAATCTATACATAGCAACACTATTGATTTTGTTGTCCAAAAATCTTCTCTTCTAACTATCTTCTAAAAATCTACTATATCCTAATCGTGCTTATTACAAAAATCATTGTTGACATTGGGGAAAAGTTAATATTTTAAAGGCCAAAAAAGGAAGAATAATAAAGGAATATATTTGCACCAAGTATAATTTTATTTTAGGCTCCAACTTCAAGTTTGCTTTATTTATTAACTTCTCAGAGAAGTTAATATGATTTATTTTTTTTCCTGATATTCTAATTTACTTTACTGAAACTTTGTTCTTACATAATCTCTTTCCCTCACCCAAAATTCTTAAGTTCAAAATAAGACACCATGAATCTATTATCCTTTTTGGGGAAACACACATGTTATAAATGCCCTACTTGTCCGTATACATAGATACCTAAGACTAGTCAGAGCTCACGTCATTGTTAAACACTTTCCTTTTTATAGGAAATAGTACCTAAATGAGTTCTCATTTTTCTGTAAGTTGGTTTCATAATGCAGCCCCAAATTATTTTGTGGACTAGCAGATATTTGCAGCAATGTTAATAATTTTATCCTTATATCAATGAGGAATGCTGAATGATTCTGTTTATTTCTTGGTGTTTTTGTTTTTCAGTTATGCCAAACATATCAAATATGCTCTGGTATTCTTTTTCAAAGGTAGTTATATTTTTTTATTTAATTAGATTGAATTTTGTTATTTTTGTATCAAGACATAAAATAATGGACCATTTTGCCATTTAGAAATTGCCTAATTCCTTATAATAATCAGTGTACTTTGAATTATTTTCAAATTTAGATTGACTGAATTGATTGAGGTTTTCCCAGAAATTCTTTATATTTGTAGATCATCATTCTCTGGGTGATGCAAACATTAACTTGGAATTTTGTA